ACTTCCAGATCATTGACTTTGGACTTGACTTGGACTTGGTTGTCTTTGACTTGGACTTGACTCGAGACTTGACTGGAAAGACTTGTGACTTACTTGTGACTTGCAAAGCAGTGACCTGGTCACACCTCTGCTAATTAATACCTCTGGAAAAGACACAAAGAAATGGTTAATTCTGGAAAACGCTAGTTTAACATGTCATTAGCTTAGTCACGCCACCTTACATCTGCATGTCCCAACCTACTTCAGAGTCTACAATGCATACACTCTGGTCCAACCGCAGCTAGGCTGGGCTACTGCTAACGTCCTCGTTGGACCAGAGGAAAACAAAGAAAAGGTCACAGCACACATGCAATGTTCCAGTAGGAATGTCTGGACTCTGAATGAGTGCCAGATAAATCCATAGCTTTCCTACTGAGTAATCTGGATACTTTTACACGGCTTTACACAGAGCTTCTAGCTTCAAGCAGAGTCATAGGGCCATTGGCGTGAACTGACCAATCAACATGTAGCTCATTTAATAATCATGTCTTGGCTGAGTGGGTGGGGTTAACCAGTCCTTTCCCTGTAGGGCTTTATTATGGGGTCCTATTTCATCAGGGCTCCTGGGCTATTTTGAGCCACAACAAAGTTACATGTTATAAAGGCAAGGCAGCTTTATTTATATTGCACATTTCCTACACAAAGGTAACTAACGTACTTTACACTGAGAAGAGAACTAAATGTCCTCAGCCAGGAGGAATTACTAAGTAAAGGAAATGGAAGGTGTCAGGAGACCAAATCAGAAGCAGTAAAAATTGGTGCAATGAACTATAGAAAACACTGATGACTAAAAGTAGAACACTAACAGAAACTCAATACTTTGAGTGGATAAAAATGCTAACCAGGAATGACTTAGTGTTGGACGACTAAAACTAAGGCAGTAAAAACTGGTACAAGAGGCTTAAAGAAAAGTGTCCCACTTGTCATAAAAGGCTATTCTGAAAAACATTTCAAAGAGTAACACTAGAGTTTGTTAGTCTCAGTCTCATGGTAAATTTAAACCTTATGTATTTTTTTACTTATTTAAGAAACTCTGAACTTCAGAAAATGAAGAACAACACCTGTTACTTTTTACCCCGCCGACATCAATCCAGCCAAATCATTACTGTTTCAGCTTGAAAATGTTCTCAGGCTACAAGCTGCATATCTACTGGAAGAGGAAAATCTGGCCTGAAGCTTCATCTGTAACTCAACCTGTTCCGTAACCTGACAACGCCAGCAGCCATTAGCCTAATCACATTCAAATTATTCACTAGGAGACGTTAATTTATCAGACAGATTTGGGGAACTGGCAGAGGAAAGAGGCCTTAAGAGTTATTGAGAGGGTATTAAAATACGAGTTGTATTAACAGATTGTGTTCTGTGCTTCGAGATCCCAATGTGAGTGACAAACAGAACTTCAGCTCTGGAAGGGAAGATTTGTGAGTGAATGAAAAGAAGCTGAGCTGTGAGAAAAAGTGGTGACTTTTCATGTATCCTACCTCCAACCAACAAGGCTTGAAAAGCCACATGTTCTAACTGATCTGCTGACACCTTTCTAGATGTGGATGTCTGTTTTTGTGTGACAGAGTTTGTGCTTGAATCTTGTTGAATAATTTGGGTCCACTGTGGCTGTGACTGCCTCGCAGCACAAACTCAGTCAGACGGATAACTTAGAAATGTGCTTTCTAGCTAAAAAGAATTCTTAATGAGTGATTTTTTAGGCTGGTTAAACCTTCTGGAAACTGCTGAGCACTGAGACACAACGGGCTGCTTTATTCTGCCAGTGGCTGGAAGAGAACGCACAGTTTTACAGAATTATTAAAGCGTTGCATATCACAGAGCTGTTTGGAGGCAGGACAAGTCTTATTAATGGAAACGGTTGGTAGGGAGGCGTCCTAAATATTAAATGATTTGAAAACCGATCACACACTCTTTAATAGAATACCAACTTTTATCATGATGTTGTCTATTTATTTAGTAAAACTCAAAAAGAGCACCCAAAGAGATATTTCTATTAGTGATCTACCGGTATGTATCAGCAGAAAGAGCCAAACTCTGTGTTGACAGCACTCCACGTGAGCAGAACCTCCTTATAAAGCAGGTAAGTTGTGATTGATTGAACCATGGGCTGCACAAGAAACGGGCAGAAATGCCCATGTTGCATAGATTCCGGCTGAGTTTAGAGAGTGAACAACTCATCAAATACTGCGGTGATGCTGTTGCACTCTCCAGCGCCCAGTGGCACTTCCTGTTTCTAGTCTCCGCCCATTTAGAGGGAGGTCACCTGTAGGTAGTGTCCTTAATATAACTCACAAAATATCAATGACAAAAGACTTAAATATCTTAAATAATAATTAAAAAATGGGGGGGGGGGGTCTTGTTTTTTTTTTTATTAAAAATGCTTCAGTCAAAAGTTCTTCATCAATCAAAGTCCAGGTAGTTCCTGGTACTCAGCTCACCATAGCCATGTATTAGTGACTGTGACCTGTGAATTATCTGGTTGTATGTGATGGATTTGTGGAGCTTATCTCGGTGGTTTTATTACAGGTTGGTTGTTGAAATCTGTGAAATAAACCCATAGATCTAACAGAACATCCACTGGCTACATCACAGCTGGCTCAAAGTCAGGAGACAATGTCATTTTATACATTTTTCTTTTTTTTAATCAGTTTACTAGCTGAATTCTAATGCTGAAATATTCATTTGATACTTTTTGGTTGAACGAGTCTGTTTTTATATTCCACCACTGTGGACGAATCACAGCTCTCTATAGGATTGAACCCCCTCAAGAGAGCTGTGATTGGTCAGCCAGAATGCTGCTAGGGGCTGCAGAGCTTCCAATGGAGCGTTCCTAGACCAAACTTTGCAAAGCAAGAATTTGGTCTAGTTCACTAGACTGCCAAGCAACTTTACTGTGGTTCTACTGTAAAACAAAATAACAATAATCATAAGATTTGTAGCATTTGCGAATAACCTCTGCTCATAAATACACAGTGATGTTAATGCTGGCTGCAACATGTTTTCATCCTGCTGTCCAATCAGACTGTTACATGCTTGTTGATGTAAACAGAGGTAGTGACAGCGAGGGATTTAATGTAACATCAACAACTGAACAGAAAACTCAGTAATGCTTTTTTGCATTTTAGTTTGAAGGCAGTTTTTCTATTCATTTAGAAAAATCCAGTTATCATTTTGTTAACTAATAAATGTTTTTCACAATAGTTGTGATACATTTCATTTTATCCCCATTTTTGTTCCAGACATTAACCAAACATTTATATTTTGTTGCCCAGGTAAAGTCTATTCAGGCCAAACAACATCACAAACTCTAGACTTTACGACTCTGCACTCTGTTTAGTTCTTTTGTGCTTTTTCCTTATAATTGCTTTTTCTTTTTACTACATGTATTTTTTGACCTAATAGAGACATCTGTTCATTTTGTGCAGCTCAGTTGAATATAATTTTGGACAGTGGTCCTCAATCCTGGTCCTCGAGGATCACAGCCCTGCAAGTTGTTGTAGTGTTTGTTGTTTTAACACACCTGATTCAGCCGGTAGATGCCCTCTGATTCTGAAACAGTCTGTTAAATTAAATGGGAATCAATCAGCTTGATTCATGAAGATTAAGTACAGAAAACCATTATGCAAAATGACACAAACACGCTCTATCCGTTAACAGTCTGGCCATGGTTGAAGACCCCCATCAGGGGTTCACTTGGGATGCTTTTGATGTTTATTCTAAATGGAATTTCCACATTTGTCTCTGATATCATAAAGGAAGCAGTAGGGCTGGGCCATGTGGGCCAAAACTTACATCTTTAAGCTGAAATTGGATGTAGGATCAAACCCTCACCCCCCGGTAGCTAGTTACAAAGGTTATGTCATGGGTGGGGTGGCATTTGATGCTTCGATGAAGAAGTTAGAACAGCATCCACAAATGTTGGAGAATTAATCTCCAACAGGTCTAGAAAGAAGAGCTCGCTAGAAAAGCATCAAGAGTCAAGAGTTCTTCAAATTAAACCAAAAACAAATAAAATCAACCTTCTGGTCCTCTGTGACAGAATCAAGTCCAGCGTTGCACATCCAGAAGTCAAGCTGACAAAGCTATTTAACTCGTTTTTCCAGTTATTAACTGAAAGGATTTATTTTAAACCCTCGGAAGGAAGATTACTTAATATTCTGTTTAAAGTGTTAAACACATTAAAAATACATAGTTTGCAGATTTAAGATGTTTGGCAGTGGTGTAAGTGTCCCTTACTACAATAGGATGTAATGTTGATGAAACGTAGCTCATGAATCTTTAAATGGACCTGAAGCCTGTGATGGAGCAGAGGTTGTAAAGTAGGACACATCGTTTCCCCTCAGAGCCACAACAACAGCCTCAGCTCCTGTCACAGCTTTCACACTGAGTTAGAGAGCGTGGGACGGCGAATACCTAATACCCACCAAACAATATAGCTTAAAACCGGCGTGGTAATGTCAATGCTTTTGTTCATGATTCCAGTAATTCCAGTTTTTAATGCATATGCTTTGGCGTCATTTGTAATTCAACACCGGCTGGTTGACAGGAGCGACCCAGAAGTTATTTCTTGTGCCCCTGAGAAGCCATGACATGTATTGTTTTACTCCAAAATCGGGTGAATAGGGCTAGAGGATAACCTTGAGCTAACAATGCTAATGGGGAATTAGAAAAAAATAGTTGGCTTTCACAACATGTCCAGCTACTTTTTCAACGACCAGTAACTTGATATTGTAATGAAAAGTTTTTATCTATTTATTAATTTACTGTGTGTGACTCGTCATCTGGAGCCTTCTGCTGATCCATAGTTGGAAACAGGCACGAAACTCACGGACCAGCAGTGAGAAAGGGGCTAGTTTTATTTGGAAAATGGGCTGCAGTAAACAAGTCTGACCCCAGGATGTTCTTCTTACTCCATATTTACATGATGCACCTTTAAATGTTGTCTCATTCCTTTCCAGATGACGGCCCATATGGAAAAACTAAGGATATCTCTGGCCCAGAACACACCATGGCTCTGAGAAGACACAGCATACCAGGTACATCCGTTCCTGTTACACTAGACCCCTCCTCCCCTTTCCTACATGAACACAGGTGTTTGCAGGTACATTTAAAAAATAAAGTTCAACAACTTGTTTTGTAAGATAGCAGCCTATGTCTCAGAAGTTTTCTGCATTTCCTCAGGTAAGTAGTAGCTAACTAAGACTCTCCTGCAATCAGCGTGGATTTTCGTTGCTTTAGTGGGAGACTGGAGCTCAGCTGTTTATCTCTGCAACACCTGTGAGGCTGTGGTGAAGTTGGCGTGAGACTCAGATTTACCGCGGGCCTTTTAAAAAACATTAGATTAATTAAACTTTCATCAATGTGAAATGGAGACGACGAGGAGATGTTGACCTGAATAGGTTTGCATTGTGTTCTTTTTGCTGTTCCCTATAGCTTTACTCTTTCGATTATGGTGTTCACTAAAAAAAAAAAACATACTAAATATTTAATGCTAAATTTATTGCATCTGTTTGGCCAGGAATAAAACTTGGTTTTAAATCCAGGAAAAGCTTCTCCTACATTTGTCAAAACTTTAGTTTTAATGCAAATGTGGACAGGACAAATGAACAAGTCTGTGCATGTGTGTGTGTGTGTGTGTGTGTGTGTGTGTGTGTGTGTGTGTGCGTGCGTGCGTGCGTGCGTGCGTGCGTGCGTGCGTGTGTGCGTGCGTGTGTGTGTAATACCCTACCACGATAACTGAGGGGTGAAGCACTTCACTGATCCTGAGTGTCGCCTGGGGGATTTACCTAATCTAGCCATTTATCACCCCAAAGCCTCATTTTACCTCACCCTCCCTCCTTCTCTCTCTCATTCTGTGTGTGTGTGTGTGTGTGCGCGCGTGTGTGTGTGTGTGTGTGTGTGTGTGTGTGTGTGTGTGTGTGTGTGTGTGTGTGTGTGTGTGAGTGTGTGTGTGTGCAAAAGCATGAACATTTTAGCTTCATTTTAGTTTGATCATTTTATTTCATATTTTCAACATAAATTCCTTCTTAATCCTAAAAAGTATCAAGAGCAAAAGCTCTAAAAATAAACCATGACAGAATAGGAGAAATAGCGTGTTCCATCAAAAACAAATAACCTAATTACAAATTTTCCATGTTTCCAAATGGTAAATGGCCTGTATTTGTATAGCGCCTTCACCTTCTAAGACATTACTTCTTACTTTTACTTCCAGGCTCTGCCATGATGGCAAGATAAAAATTCTTCTTTTTTGGGGGGCAACAGTGGCACAGGAGTAAAGTGCTCACCCCATTATCAGAAGGTTGCAGGTTCGAGACCCACTCAGTCTGTCGCTGCCTTTATGTCCCTGGGCAAGACACTTAAACCACCTGCTGGTGGTGGTCAGAAGGACTGGTGGGACCTGTGTGCTGCAGCCTCGCCTTCATCAGTGCACCCCAGGGCAGCTGTGGCTACACTGTAGCTCATCATCACCAGCGTGTGAATGGGTGAATGAATGTTTGTGTTGTAAAGCACCTTGGGGGGTTCCAGGACTCTAGAAGGCACAATATCAAATACAGGCCATTTATCGTTCTTGTGCTTTTCATTACACAAGAAAAAGCTAACTGCTAGCCTTCATATTAGCTACAGATACAGTAAACAGCTATTTTAGTAATGCGCTAGTGGTTTTACCCCAACCACAGAACTCTCAAGTACAGTTTCTGGCCAGCAGAGTGCAGTTCATTGTAGAGCTGCTCAAGTTCATGGCTCAAGAAACACTGAAACCAGTTTCAAAGCAATAGCTTCAAGTTAAAACTCTTTAGTGTTGCTTTAAATAATGGGACAAAAATTGCACCTCAGAGAAATTGTTGACATCTGTTCACCCACAGTTCACAACGCTAATGCATCCTTTATTGTTTGCTTGTAGATTTGAGTTGTAAGTGGTTATCTGATGCCTATCATTTACCATGATTGTGTGTGCAGGTCAGTAGGCCAGACATTCAGCCTGTAAAGAGGATTTTTCTATTTTGCTTTTGAGTAACAGAAGTTGATGCAGATGCTTTGATCCTTTAGTCAGATTCCTCTCTGTCAGAAACTCACTCTGTCCTGGCTGAAGGAAAAAAAAACAATCAATCAATCAAATCAAAGCTTTATTTATAAAGCGCCTTCCGCAACCCTGTCAGGAAGCCCAAGGCGCTGAACATGGTACAATCATCTTTATCTGTGCATGCTTGTCTATTTTTGCATCATTGTACCCTCTCTTCCTGTTTTTTCTCATCAGCTTTGCTTTAATCCACAAGTATAGAATGAACACAGCAGCTACTAATGACTTTTTTGTTCTTGTGTAATTTTGTTTGTCTGTGTACACGACCATTTGTGTCTTCCTCTTGGCTTGATTGTCTTGGAATGTGTGCGTGCGTGTGTGTGTGTGTGTGTGCGTGTGTGTGTGTATTTTCTGTTAGAAGCTCTTCGAGGGGTGACCATGGTGGAGCTGGTGAAGAAAGAGGGCAGCACACTTGGACTAACCATCTCAGGAGGAACTGACAAGGATGGAAAACCACGAGTGTCTAACCTACGGCCGGGTGGGCTGGCAGCCAGGTAGAGAAAATAGTTTTTGGTAGTTCAGATATTTGAAGACTTAATAGAAAATAAAAGAAAAACATAGAAAACTGTCCAGTTGGATGTAATGTTTGACTAACTTCTTCCTGACTGGAACACCGATCAAGTGCCTTTTGCACCCTTGAGCCGTATTTTGCCAAAGTCCACACTGAGTACCCACAATCCATTGCTGCATGGGGATGTTAAGAAGAAGGCGGAGAAATGGCTCAAGTGCCCTTTCTGAAAAATATGCAATCTAAGGTATAAAAATGTGAATATTTTATTGCTGTGTGACTCCAATCACATATTTCTCTGTTGAAAGATGCGTTATGTATCTGATGATAAATATTGTTAACTAATAACGGTGCTGGTGTAATTTTGGACACAACATGCCAGACTGCAGAGTAAACAATACAATGTTGAGATTTAAAATGAAAAAGAGAAAATGTCCTCTTCCACTCAGGAAAAATAAAACATTTGGATTATTAGAACCTCATTTTTATCATTTCCTCTTTTACCCAAGATGAAAGAAGTTTGACGATTAAAGATAATTACCCATGCTCTGATTCTTTTAGACTAAGTTTTAATCTGGAGAGTAATTAATGCTAATTTTGTCTAATAATTGTGTGTTTGAACGTTTTTAATAAAGTTTTTTTTAAGTAGCACAACAGCAACAGGTGTTGTGCCAAAAACAGCATGCCTGCCAAGATTTGCAACCACAAACTGCGGACGTAAACATTTAGAATTATGAGCAATGAGGCTATTTTAATACAGTCATAATGTGAACACGTTTCTAATCTGGTTCCCTTGAAATGTTTTGTTTTTACTTGAAATATTATGAAATAATGAATAAATATTTACATTTTTGACACATTTTATTTCAACTTGTTTGAGGCAAATGTTTTAGTGAGTATTTTTTTTATATTATTGTATCTGCTTAATTGAACTATTTTGTTTTGGGTTCGAAAAACAGGAATGTGACTGAAAGTTATAAACATTTTAAACATTTCTTATTATTTAAAAGAAAACATGTTAGAAATTATAATTTCTTTTATTTTTCAGCCCATAAACCTTCAGTTTCTAAGGAAGCCCACAAACATGTTAATAGTGTACATTTATTAAAGGGCTACTTTACAAATTTTTCATATTTTTTAATTATTTTCTTGATCCATTATGTAATAAAATGACTCCTTACATGGATAATGAAAGGCCACCCAGCCCTTATCACCCCCTGTGGCCTGAATATTCCACTTGCAACTTCAGACTGGCGTACTGCTCTTTTAAAACCTGAAAAATTGAGCTGACATACCCTGTGCTGCAGTCTGGTTCCAGCACATTTCCTGCATGTTTTAGATCATGTCCACAGCTGATTTGTTTAATTTTGTGATAAATCACTCATGTAGACACTAATGAAGTCTGGGAGACATTTGAGCTGTTAGATTAAAGTATTAAAAACACAAATGCACAGCGAAGAGATTTCAGTTCTACAAACAGACACTAGGGGGTGCAAAAAGCAAGCCAAAACTGCCTAGTTCTCCTTTAAAAAGCTGCCTCGTTACTCGTATGCACCTTTCCACACCATTCTATATATAATGTTGCCATAATCCAAAATTGGCAGGACAGACTGCTTTACTGCGCACTTCCTCCAAATGCACTTTGCTGATGAGGGTGCAGTGCGAGTGTTGGGACTAGGCCTTTTACTTCCTGAACATTCAGGCAGCTTTTCACATATTATGTGACTATTTTGTTTGTTTTTGGGTTACAGAAGTGATCAGCTAAACGTCGGCGACTACATCAAGTCTGTGAATGGCATCAATTTGACCAAACTGCGGCACGAAGAGATAATTAGCTTATTGAAGAATGTGGGAGAGCGAGTTCTGCTGGAGGTGGAGTATGAGCTGCCCCCTACAGGTACATGACGGATTACCTCCACCTTCATTCTCCTGTTTACTTTTACCTCTGCTAAGACCAATGCATTTGTTTTGATATTTGTACATTTATGCTGTTTATGGTTTCTGATGCAGAATATTACATGCTGGATCTGACGTGTCAACCACAGAAATGCTCTGATGTGATGACTGATACGATCTCAAAATGCCACATTACTTTACCTGATGATTTGAGCATTAAATGACACAATTATTCATAACTTTTACCATATTAAATGTGATGCATGCATTTACATCAGCTGATGTTTCACCCACACATTTGTTGTTTGGTATTTATGCCCCAGCGTATGAATTACCCACCTCGGTCTGTCTTTAACACTTCCTGTTTATCTCATCCTCCTGGAAGCACCAGACAGCACCTCAGGGGTTATATCAAAGACAATCGACATCTGTTTGCACAAAGAGGGAAACAGCTATGGTTTCGTCATGAGAGGTAAATATCAGCAGAGAAACGAAGACACTGGAAATGATCTAGGTTTTATTAGTTTAGCAGTTTTCATTAGTTTTCATTAGTTTTGACTTTAGATTTTCACTTTTACTTTAGTTTTATTTCTTTTTGACAATTTGTTTGCTAGTTTAGTTTAGCAAATTTTCTCTTGAAATTCAATTAGCTTAAGTTAGCTGCATTAACAATCACTACAGTTTCATCTTGTTTTTCTTTTTTGCAAAGTCTTTATTTCATTTCATTTCTGTTTTACCTTTAGTTTTTGTTCTCTGGTTATTTCCTGCTCCAACACACCTGACTTAATGACTGAATTATGTGTTTAGCAGCTCATGAAGTTCTGCAGAAACCTGTTAATCATCCAGTGATTAAAAACATGCTGATTAGCGGTCCTTCAGGACCAGGGTTGGTTATCCGTGCCATAGAACATCTGCCATTTGATCCTGAAGCTGCCCATTCTTTTTGACGTAGTTTTCATTTGCTCTGTTGTGAATGCAGAATGCAAGTAAATCAAAATCGTTCCTGTGTCTAGGTTTTTGTCTGAAAGTCTAGAGAATTTGTGACAACAGTCTAGAAGGAGTTAAATTGGTGTTAGCAATAAAGGTTGAAAATGGAACACAAACATCAAAGCTATCTAGTGCGTGGAGGTTGTAGCTGCAACAACTGAACAAGGTTTCCAGCTGTCAGGATATCAGGTGCGCTGTCTATCTGGGTCTATCTAAACTCACTCTGGTTTTAGATCTTTTGTGGTTTATCCTCCTAAGAGAAGGATAACAACATCTTCTGGGCTCAGAAGCAGCTGGTTGGCATGCAGAGTGCACCATTTTCCACAGTGCCAGCCCCGCTATGCCGAGCGGACTGTTTAGCAACTGATTTAAAATAATCACACGTGCGAAAATGTGTGATTTTATATAAATGTTTAAACCTAAATGAGTTTAAGATTTTATAAACAACTTTCTTTTCCTTGTTCAGGTGGCACCCACGAAGACTGGCACAAGTCACGGCCTTTAGTTGTTACCTACGTCCGGCCAGGAGGTCCTGCAGACAGGTACGGCCTAATGTTCATGCACACAGCATCACTCAGACACACGAACACAATGTTATATTGTGATTTGAATTATGAGGTGTGTCCTTGAGAATTCAGAGCTGAAGTTTGTGTTCAGATGCTCTGAAAATGTTGAAACAGGTCTTTATGTATTCAGTTTGTAAAGCCAGCTTTTTTTTTTATTGCCATTATTGCCATGTATCTACTGATCAGCTTACTGTATTTGACTCGTCTTTTGCTCATCATCTAGAATCTTTTGGCGCTCACGCGTAGCTGACAGCAACCATGAACATCATGAGGGGGTGGGGGAGTGAGAGCGGACTACTGTACCCAAATTTGTCCACAAGATGTTGTTTTTATTCCATGCACCTTTAACTTCCTGAGACCCGAATTTGTATTTGGTGTGATGTAAAAAAAAATAAAAATTCTTAAAAGGTTTTCTAGATAAAACAAAAAAGATATGTTTTTACCTAAATTTGATATTAAATGTTTCTAAATAATAAAAAAAAACAAGGTCTACTTTGAAGAGAATAAAAACTTTTAGTGAAAGGCGCCAATGTGGACGCAGGGTCTCAGGAGCTTATAGGCAAGATAAGGCAGCTTTACTTATAGAGCACATTTGAAACACAGAGGCAATTCAACGTGTTTTACAATTTTCAGGACATTTAGAAGTTTAAATTGACAATGTGTAGTTTTTATCGTTAATCTCTGGAAACATCCGTCCAAATGTTGTTGTAAATTAAATAAATTATGCTCAATTGTTGAAAAATCTTGGTGGCTTTGTAACATATAGCCATCAAAATCAGGTCAAAAATACATGGGAGTGGGTCCAAGTCGACATATTAAATGCCATTTTTCCTTCTACGGGAGCCCGTGAGGACAAAACACATTTACTGATCTGTAACAAACGGTTACAAAACATTCTCCTTAAACGTTGTTGTTTTACACATTTGCCTCTTCACTTGTTGCCACTAATGAAAGGGAGTCTAATGTGCTTGTCATATTTTTGGTGGCTGTTCTCCTAGGGCTTTTTGACCCAAATTGCTGTCCGTTGGTAAGGTCTTACTCAAAAACAAAAATACTGCTTGCTTGCAATGATTTAGGAATGCACTGCCTCCTATCACCAGGGAAAATACACACTGTCACTTTAAGGAGTGTAAGACCATAATTCCTTATTTACATTTAACCTGCATGATGTACTCTCTTTAAGAAAATATGTTAAACTACACCATTTATTTTTTTAAGAAATGCTAATTTAGATGTATCACATTAGGATGATGAAGCCTAAATACAAACAAAGCTTTGGCCAAATACTAAGAACCTTTTTGTTATTTCTAACAGGCTGTAAAAAGGGCAAAGTCCTTTAGACAAAAGTGATGTCTTCAGGAAAAATAAGTCACTGTCCTCCTTCAAGTGAAAGCTTGACAGTTCCAGTCCGGGCCGTTCGCCTGTGCCCCGAGACAAACAGACCCTAAGAATAACATTGTCCTTCGCTGTGACCATCTCTCGTATGTCGACTACTATTCTGTTACTCGTGGCTGCAGCAGCATGAATCACCTCTATCCCTTTAATGCTGTCACCACGTGTCTGCCTCAGCTTTCAGGTTTCAGTAATAACACATGACATTTTCATAAAAATGTCAGTTTTGTAACCGTTCTACTCCTAAAATCCAGTGATGAGTCAACCGGGAGCCGGAAAGTTTCATATGTTCACAAACCGAGAAGTAAGATTTGTATTTATTTTAGCATTTTTGAGAACATCAGTCCTCATGTAGTCTAAATATGTTTATTAAAAAAGAAAACAGACATTAGAGGTCTTCCACTTCTTTTTTTTTCATTATTATTAAATCTTAAAGCTGCTATGGCAAAGCTGCAACCAAGCTGGGTTTTGAACGCAAATGCCACAGACGTCATATTTGTAGACACACCCATGGACTGGCGCTGCCTATTGGAGCTGGCATAGCCACAGACTGCCATCTTGAATGGGTCTCCTGCCAATAACACCAGTGCATTTATTTCTACTGAGGAAGGTGCTTACTCAACAAAACATTTTATTATGCTTTCAAATAAACATCATTTGAATATGATATAATTAAACAAAATACATTAAAATTTAAAACCCCAACAGGTAGGCTATCCAAAGAGTTCAAATGAAGGCAACTGGACTGGAAACCAAAGAAGTCCAGTTGCCTTCATTTGAACCCTTTGGATTACAATGACCTGGATGACTGAGAACCTTCACCAGCAAACAGGTAGGCTAGAGATGTCAATAGTTATCCCACGTGATATCTTTTCAATAATATGCCAGTTGTTGCAACTGTATGCTGCACAAAATACCTCCATAGTTGCTCACCCTGCATTGACTCTAGTTGGGTTTGGAGAGTGATGAACCCATCCAATATGGCGGCGATGCTGTCACGCTCTCCAGTGCCCAGTGGTGTGTCTATGTATTCATGTCTATGACAAACACGGAACACTCACCCCTCTCCTTGAATATTGTCGCTGAAAGGCTTCTACCAGAACCAGAAACCCACGAGGCCAGAGGAAAAAAAAAATAGAGCTAAACACCACACTAGGTCCAAATGTCTTATTGTCTGTGACTTCAGGTGGTGTTTTTCTTTTTGGGACTCTGGTAGTTTGTCCTAAAGTTCAAGTGGTAGCAGCCAGCTGTTACTCCTTCAGCAGAGAACTTCTCACACCAGTGGTGTTCTGTTGCTAAATACGTGAGTTTGTGATGATTGGACCCAGGGAGATGCGGTGGTTCGGTGAGACCAACAGCTGGATGGCCCAATGCTTGCTTTTGTCCAAGGTGTGTCATTGGTGGAGATTTTTAGAAAAATGCAAGCGAATCGTGTTTTTTTTTATATATATCTCCACAATATTTTTCTAGCTATACGATGTTCGAACGTTGTTAGGAGGCATGAAAAACAAAGTTTTAAGCTAACTGATTATTGCAGCTTTAACTCCTGCACTGGTTTTGGTATGCAGGAGTCTCATCATAAAGCTGTGAATAATGACACAAATCCTGATGTATCATTGGAGCAATAAATGATTTGAATTAAAAATCAAAACAGGTTTGTGAAATAAACAAAATGATCAGTCTCTCTCTGACATTAAAGCCATCCAGCTATGACTCCCCTACCCTCACCTATGCAAACAGGTGATCAATAGTTATTGATCCTGAGCCTCTGTAATGTGGTTAAGAGTGTGTAATTGATGATTGATTCACACACGTATGAGTCAGAGAGGAAAACTGGATTTAGACAATTTAGACCTTTTTACTTCCATGTATTTATTTATTCTCTTTTACTCCACATCTGTAATTTACCCTTGTTCCATCATCCAGGTGAAGAGCAAGCTCAACTCTGATGTATTTTCTAGGTTATGAATGGTAAAGTGAAGACTGAAAACAGACTTGTTTAGTGTTTACACTGTTCATTTGTCTGCTGATTCCATCTGGAATGAAAGTGTTAACTAATGCACGTTCCACAAATTTAAAGGTTTCATTCCCACAGAAACAGTGTAATACTAAATGTGCCGTCTTCTTAGAAATGCACATTTAGAGTTAAAGATTGCTGCTGATTAGTTCCACCAAACAGGCAAATCTGAGTTTAGGAGCACGTCAGCCCACCTAAAGGCCATTGGTAAAACATGTTTCATCTGCTTCATCTTCTTCTCACATCTCTCTGTAATCCCAGTGTGAAGAGGCGGTTTGTCTCTGCTCACGCAGCTGCAGCTTCAGCCATTTGATGCAAGAATTTAAAGCTATTTCTGTCTTGCTGGCATCTATTTGTGTGAGACGTCACGCAGCAAAAACGCTGCCTGTTATCTGTCTGACCTACATTCATCATTTAGGGCAGATTAATGATAGATTAAAATAATCTGAAACGATCTCAAGGATTTTTAAGGACATTTTAGAGCTGGTGAAAAGAGTGAAAATCAGTTCAATTAAACATTAGTGCAAATCAGTTTCAATCAGCCGTGAGTATTATGATCATCTTTGGACGCTTTGGTCTGTTGTATAAAACCATTAATATGCTTCATCCACAGGTTCAGATATGAGAAACTGAGAAAGAGATAAAATTTTTACTGCTGAGTTTTTTTTTTTCCCCCAGAAGCTCATTTATCATCTTTCTAAAGAAACCCAAATGTGGGTCACTCTGGGGGAATGAATGAGATATTCATGCTGCTTTATATGCCATTTATATGCCAATTGGAGAAAACTTAATCCACAGCACCATACAGCCCCAGAAGTATCTACATAGTTAGCATTTCCAGTGGGAATTAAAGCAGCAGCTCTGGAAGCTCCTGAGCACCATGAGGGATTTTACACAGGGTCACAAAGGAACTGTTTTCACTGCCTCATCAGAAACACACAGAAAGGGCCTGCGGGTCCAGGAGCAAGCCAAATGTCAGTGCATTTTTTAAAATATTACTTTAAATGAGAGTTTTCTTTAAAATGATAATTCATGCTCATCCAGCTGCTTTTTACGTATTTTATTTATTATTTCTTTATTGTAAGTGGTCTTCCTTATTATTACCTCATCACTCAGTGAGTGACCCATTTCCTGCTATAATAAAAGCCTTTAGTCTCAGCTCAGCTTGCACCATTGTTTAAAAAAGCTCCAGAGATTGCATCGTGTTTTATAACTTCTGGGTGTTGCACCGACAGCTTGGCATTACTCACATTCAGCCTGATGCATTAAGCGTCTATCAGCTTCCCTGCATTAGAATTTCATCTCCACATCCCTGCATAAAAACAGCTGCTGAGTGTTGCTGTCTTTAAAAACAATAATAAAAAGGCTGAATCTAACATATTCAGCAGCGAAGCCTGAATTCGTATTAAAGCTGTCTCTGTGTTGTTTAAATGCAAAGCAAACTTAGACAACAGAAAGGGGGGCCGAGGAGGCAAAAATCTTTAGATGGGATTTAGACAGAAAATGTTAAGATTGAGCTTTTTTTTAGATATTTGTGACGAAGGTACTAATCCTGATGCTCCATCTGGATGATGTACATCTTACCTTTAGCATCTTCTTGTGCCACTACTGCCTCTATAAACACTCAGTTTTCTGTCTGTGTTTGGTTGGTAGAATTGATATACCTAAAAAGAACCATTTTAAAAAGGCCCTGCTTGTGACATCACAATAAGGGAAATTTGCCCAGAACAGCTCTTTTTGGAAGGTACAAAAATGTCAAGAATAAAACTACTGAAATGAGTTTAAGTGAGAGAGATTTAGTACGCAGAACTTCCTGAACATATTATTTATCGACCATAGATTTAAAAAAGGCTTAATTTGTCTCCTTCAAGGCCAGAATTGGTGTCATGAAAATGTGTTTCATTTACCTTTAAATGGTTAGCTTTGCAGTCAGGAAATGAGAGACAGGTGTTGGGTTGCTGCGGTAACTTAGTGAGCCTCTGGCAGTGACTGTAACATTTCTTTTATCTTTCGCTATTCTTTTCAAAGAATTTATGTTTCAGAACATCAACTGAGAATCTTACAGCTTTAGGTTCCAGAACATACTTTAGTTGGGTTTTCACACCAGAAAGTTGACAAGTATTTTGGGCCGAAGATTAAGTCACACCCCTTCAGTAATTGTCTGGTTGTACCATAATGTTCATGTGTTCAGAGAAGGAACGCTGCGTCCCGGCGACCGTCTTCTGAGTGTGGACGGGGTGCCGCTGCACAACGCAAACCACAGCGACGCCCTCAACATGTTGGCTCAGTGTGGCCAGGAAGCTCTGTTTCAGATTGAGTATGATGTCACCATAATGGGTGAGACACCGCATGAACACTCAGACCTACTGGGACATTATCAGAGGTCCACGTACACAAACAAATGTATCCTCTGTTATTTTTTGAGTTAGGTCAGAAGGTTGCATGAAAAGCAAACAAGCTATGATCTTTACATTAATACTGATTGCTGCTTCTGTAGACATTTTGGTAATTTTTTAATTTAACTCAGGCCTAGTCCACACGTAGCCGGGGTTTTTTAAAAACGAATATCCTCCCCTCCAAAAACTTGCATCCACACCACCGCGTTTTAAAAACAAACTCTGTCCACACGTACCCGGATAAATACATTGTTAAGGACATGCCAGACCTGTAGGCGGCAGTACTTCCCCGTTCTTAACCTCGTCCTTCGTCTGTGGTCTTCCGCAAGGAGCAGTAATTCTGCTTGCAAAAACAAACAAGCAGAAAGCGCTTGGACAATTGATGGATCGGGTAGTGACAGAGCGCAGCTCTGAGGGCTTCCATGCTGCCGGCTAGTGTAAACACAGGTCGCACACGTGATGTCAGCATTTTTTTGTCGCGGAAAGTGACGTTGCGGACCTTAAAACTCCGGTTTTGTCTGTCCACATGCAGACACCCAAAACGGAGAAAACGCAGATCTTCACTTTGGCCGGAGTTTTTAAAAAGATCAGTTTTCGTGTGAAAAAACTCCGTTTTCGTGTGGATGACAGGCCAAAACGTAGAAAAATATTTACGTTTTGGCAGATCCCCGGCTACGTGTGGACAGGGCCTAAGATCATAAAACATTAGAGTTCCACTGGTACTGATGTTATTCTTCTGTGGAAACTTTATTCATCTAGTGCAACAATTCAGAAGGAAAAACTGCTGAGTTGATTCTTTACATGTTTGAACATAAACATGAGCATCAGTTTTACATTTTCTTTGGTCCAAAGCTGCATGGAGCTGCTTCAGAGGGTCTGAAGAGCCACATGTGGCTCCAGGGCCACAGCTTGCAGACCCCTGGCGTCAGTGTGAAGGTGTGGTGTTAGATTTAACACAAACTGCCTTTTTCTCCCACCAGACACGGTGACAAATGCCTCTGGTCCTTTACTGGTGGAGATCGCCAAGTCGCCGGGGGCAACGCTGGGCATCACGCTGACATCAGCCAACCATAGAAATAAACAGGTCATAGTCATTGACCGAGTAAAACCTGGCAGTGTAGTGGACAGGTACGAGCATGTTTATGTTCTAATGGGTATTGAATTATGGGTCTTATGGATTAAAGTCCAACCCAGTTAAAGTAATTAAGCTAAATGGGCACACACACACACACACACACACACACACACACACACGCACGCACGCACACAGGAGCTTACAAAGACTTTGCCCATCCCTGTTACTAACACGGACAGCAGACAGGACATTGCCCTGAGTGAAAGTAAACATGAATAACTTGTGGTGAAGGAAGCCAAGCTTAGAATGAGGAGTGCTGTAACGACTCTGACACTAGTCAGTGACTCGATGCAACCTGCTGGGTTCCTTATATAGGAAACTTTTTACTGATTGGCTTAATGCCCAGGGGCCTCATTTATCAAGCTTGCTTACGCACAAAACGGGGTCAGAAAACTGCATAAGCAACTTTCCACGCAAACTTTGGGATTTATGAAAGAAAACTTAGCGGAAAAATGTGCGCAACTTTAAGTTGACTAAGGACCTGGCTTGCGCACATGCTGGACATGGAGAACACCTGCAGCGCTGCTGCTGAGAAGGATAAAATTATGAAATCCTGCAGCATTATCACTTGTACTGCTTCGTTTTCACACAGAACAAGACCCCCGCACGCACACATGTGCGCTTGCACACACACGTGCGCGCACACACACACTCACACACACACACACACACTGTCACGAGCGTGCCTGGTGAGTGGAGTGGAGGTAGGATCCAATCGCGGGGAGGAAGAAGGCAAACAGGTACTGTAGGTCTGTTTAACATAGGTTTATTAATTACACACGCTAGACACTGAAACAATGACACGACATGAAACACAGAACAGACGGGGTTTAAATACACGAGGAGCGGGAGCTATGGTGATTGGGAAACAAGATGCAGGTGGGAGCAATTAACGGAGACACAGACTAAAACATAAGAGAAGACAGGACAGGGTGTGACAGTACCCCCCCCCCCCCTCAAAGGGCGGATCCCAGACGCCCACAGAAACAAGGAGCAGGGCGGGAGGAGGGGGACCCGGAGGGAGGGCCCAGAGGAACCGAGGGACCACAGGAGAGGCGGCAGGGATCAGCAGAGTCAGGGGGCCTGCGCCTGCGGCAGATGAGGAGGCGACAGGCCCGTGGAGGCCGGCGCCTGCGGCAGAAGAGGAGGCGACGGGCCCTTGGAGGCCGGCGCCTGTGGCAGAAGAGGAGGCGACGGGCCCTTGGAAGCCGTCGCCTGCGGCAGAAGAGGAGCCAACGGGCCCTTGGAGGCCGGCGCCTGCGGCAGAAGAGGAGGCGACGGGCCCTTGGAGGCCGGCGCCTGTGGCAGAAGAGGAGGCGACGGGACCCTGGAGGCCGACTCCTGCGGCAGAAGAGGAGGCGATGGGCCCCTGGAGGCCTGCGTCTGCGGCAGAGGAGGAGACGAGGACGGACCCTTGGGGACCTGCGTCTGTGGCAGAGGAGGAGGCGACAATGGGCTCTCAGGGCCCGGCGTCAACGATAGAGGAGCTCTGCAGGCTGGGCCGGTGACAAAGTCTCTGCAGGCTGGGCCGGTGACAAAGTCTCTGCAGGCTGGGCCAGTGACAAAGTCTCTGCAGGCTGGGCCAGTGACAAAGTCTCTGCAGGCTGGGCCAGAGCAACCTTCAGAACCACCATCAGAACCGGAGACGGTGGAGACGTCAGACCAGAGGGGACGTCGTCCTCTGGACAGGAGGAAGCGTCGACCTCTGGAGTGGAACGAACGTCGACCTCTAGGGTGAATGAGGCGGCTTCAGACGAGGTGACCTCGGAGACGACTTCAGAGGAGACGTCGACCTCGGAGACGACTTCAGAGGAGACGTCGACTTCAGAGACGATTTCAGAAGGGACGTTGACTTCAGAGGAGACGTTGACTTCAGAGACGACTTCAGACATGTCGACTTCAGACACGTCGACTTCAGAGGAGACGTCGACTTCAGAGGAGGCGTCGACTTCAGAGGAGACGTCGACTTCTGGCCCGGGGGCATCGACTTCTGGTCCGGGGGCGTCGACTTCAGAGGAGACGTTGACCCCGGAACAGGGAGAGGCATCGACCCTTGGACTGGACGCGTCGACCCTTGGACTGGAGGCGTCGACCCTTGGACTGGAGGCGTTGACCCTTGGACTGGAGGCTTCGACCTTTGGAATGGAGGAGGTGTCGACTTCCATCGGCTTCTGGTCCTCTGGCTTCTGGACCGCCGGTCTCCGAACCGCCGGCTTCTGGGCTGGTACCGTCTGCTTCTGGGCCGGAACCGGAACCGTCTGCTTCTGTGCTGATACCGTCTGCTTCTGGGCTGGAACCGGAACCGTCTGCTTATGGGCTGGTACTGTCTGCTTCTGGGCCCGCTCCGTCTGCTTCTGGACCCGCACCGCCTGCCTCTGGACCCCCGTTGGAACAGGCATTGAGTGAACGGGTGGTGCTGGAGACAGGGAGCGCAGAGCGTCCAGTAGGAGCTTATTAGAACTGGCGATCTGTTTAAGCTGGACCAGCTCAGCCTGGAGACTTCCACCCACCATGACAAAAGCACTTCCTTTCATTTCTCCACCTCACCCACAAGTACCTCAACTTCTGCCTGTGAAGTAGTGCTTCCTTGATCTGCGGTCGTGATCGAAATGCTGCAACAAGCCGGCTTATGTATATGCATGAGATCCACAAGGCACTTTGCATTGACCATTTATGCCAGTAAGTGGGCGTGGTGAGGGCGGGATGTGACTAAAAAGCAGCTGAGAACCTTTCTCATTAGTCTCTGATTTATGAAGTGGAGACTGCGTGCAGCTGAGCGTACTCCATGTTTGATAGATCACAAACCTACTTGGCGTAAGTATGTTTTTTTTTTGCTGAGCTTGAGTACGGTTTTAGTGAGGATTCTACGCAATGTTTGACAAATGAGACCCCTGACCTGTATTGGAATGTTTACTGTATGAAGAGCCTTGAGACAATTCCTGTCATGATTTGGTGCTATATAAATAAACTTGAATTGAATTGAATTGTGATCTCCTCAGACAGCTGAGCTGGTCGGATGTGGATGTCTTCCAGGACGCATGAGAAACAAATGCATTCTTCATAAGTTTGTTAATTTACTATAACAAACAGGATGTTATTAAATGGGATTCATGTCAGCCATTGTTAAAATGTATCCTTCTCATGCATGAACCAGGTGTGGAGCACTACATCCAGGTGACCACCTGCTGTCCATAGACGGGACGTCGACAGAACACTGTACAGTCCTGGAGGCAACGCAGTTGTTAGCCAGCACAACAGAACTAGTCAAGTTAGAAATGCTTCCTTCTCATCAGACACGACTAGCAGGAAAACAGCACGACACAGGTGGGTGTGAAACCACACAATTTTCCTAACCTACAGCAGACTGTAGTCTTCAGCACCAGTTTGTGTTTTAAAGAAGGTCTTTTTGGCACAAGCTGACATCATGTGATAGGATTCTGATAATGGGTGTGAAATCTTAGTTGTTCTCTGTAGTTGTTAGTTTTGATCCATCACTTCCACCCTTGGCTTGGTCCAGCTCTGCACCAGTCCAATCACGTAACAGTGATGTCACATGACTACAAACAACGTTAGGTCTGTTACAACAACTGAATGTCCGGTCGAGTTGATTAAACGTTTCTGAAAAGATGCAGGAACGGATCATTTAGACCATGGATGTAGTTTAGACTTCATCAGGCTCTGCAGAAGCCTGTTAATCACCTGCTGATTGAAATCAGGTGTGTTGAAGCAGGGTTGAAACTAAGGCCTAGTCCACATGTAGCCGGGGTTTTTTTTAAACGAATATCCGCCCCTCCAAAAACTTGCATCCACACCACCGCGTTTAAAAAACAAACTCTGTCCACACGTACCCGGATAAATACGTTGTTAAGGACATGCCAGACCTGTAGGCGGCAGTACTTCCCCCGTTCTTAACCTCGTCCTTCGTCTGTGGTCTTCCGCAAGGAGCAGTAATTCCGCTTGCAAAAACAAACAAGCAGAAAGCGCTTGGACAGTTGATGGATCGGGTAGTGACAGAGCGCAGCTCTGAGGCCTTCGATGCCGGCTAGTGTAAACACAGGTCGCACACGTGATGTCAGCATTTTTTTTTTGTTGCGGAAAGTGACGTTGCAGAACTTAAAACTCCGGTTTTGTCTGTCCACACGCAGACACCCAAAACGGAGAAAACGCAGATCTTCACTTTGGCCGGAGTTTTTAAAAAGATCCGTTTTTGTGTGAAAAAAACTCCGTTTTCGTGTGGATGACAGGCCAAAACGTAGAAAAATATCTACGTTTTGACAGATCCCCGGCTACGTGTGGACAGGGCCTAAGATATGCTGGATTGCGGCCCTCGGTGGACCAGGGTTCCCCACCCCCGGTCTATAGTGTAATATTCCATGGCCTTTCTGAGTGGACTTGTGTGTTCTAAATTAAATGTAAATGTACATGTTGTATAATTACTGTAAAGATGCCCCCACCCCACCCCGGTGCTCATGCCAGTTGTGCC